GTTTTATGAATGGAGTTTAATCGCACAAACTTTATATGATGCAGAAGGAGATAAATGGAGCACAAATGGAAAAAGCACTTCACCCCCAGGCCCCATTGTTTAGTGTTTCATAAACGATTAATCGCTTCATCCCCATCAAGTGCAATTGTCAGTTCAATAAGCTCCGAGGTATTCTGAATGGCGCTTGGCAAACGGATTCCTGATGTAATTACATCTAAATGGAGTGTGAGAGCGTGAGTGTGTGTGCGGGAGGCAGAGATCTATATGTCTCTATGTAGTGGTAGAGCAACTACATTGCATGTGGGCTGACAAGGAAACCTCTCTGGGGTGCTGCTCATGCTCCAGTGTGAGTTTAGGGGTCGGGTTCTCACCAGGAGATGCAGCACATCCCTGTGGATGGAAAGTGCCGGAGGTGGGATGGGAGCCGGTTCTTTCCACTCGAAGTGAAACAGGAACAGTGGTGATGCCAGCACGATCCCGGCCCTGCGGACAGGTCAGGGTCATGATTCCTGTGGAAACCTCCCTCCCTTTCCTTCCTTGTGCTGCCTGCAGCTGCCTGGTCTCTGCCTGCTCTTTACCCTCAACACAGGGTGGCTCTGGAAAGTGCGTGGGGAAAAGCACCGGGAACACTTTCATGGTCATTGTGCTTTCCAGAATAGTGGAGAGAGCAGAGGCTGGAATGTTGGGAGAAAGGGAATAACTCCAGGCTGACGCTCTTGGTGCCTGGGACCGTAGTCACAGATGTGAGCTTGAAAGACTGACCGAGAGGAGTATATTCTTGCTGGTCTTAGAGTCATAGCTTGTGGCTCTCCATGGAACAACTTCAACTTAGGTGGTGTGTTTATGGAGGGACACTCTTAAAGCAAAAATAACGCCCTGGCTTTACCTGTAACCCTCTAACCCTCTCTCTGCCCTGTTGCATCCAGCCGGCACGATGCCAAGAGCGAGCTGGTGGCTCTGTCCCAGCTCCAGCGCATGGCTCTCGCTGTGCCACCATGCCAGCACACGATGCTTCATCACTGGGCTCCCAGGCAGGCTGTGCCAGCCCGGAGCCCTGCAGAGATCCCGCGCCCATCGCTGGGGCCGCTTGGGAATCAAACAGGTATCGGCAGGTTCCCCGGCGTGTTGCGGCACAGCAGCCCCAGCGCTTGAAAGGGCTGTGATAGGGAACAGTGTTGTCTGTCTTAGATGGTATCTCAGACTCGACAGAGACATGTAAAATGCCAGGCTAGATGTTTGCAGAGACTTGTCAAGCCAAGGGAACCCGTGCCAATGCGAAACATACACTGGGGAAGAGCTGAAGCAGACAGTGGTGTGCCTGCTTGCTGAGCTCGCCCGCGGGTTGCTTTCCCCCTTGACAGAGATTTTTCAGCCAGTCCATGGCCATCAGGGAAGGGCACAGCCCCTGCCAGCCCCATCCAACCAGAGGTGCTGGGACTGCTGCCCGGGACACCCTCCTTCCCCAGCCCCATGGACCTCCCATAGCCCCAGAACTCAGCCCAGGATGGGGATGTCACACTGTGGCTCGAGAGATGCCCAACATGGCAAATTTCTCACTGAAATAACTGCTTTATGTTGCTATTTCCTTAAGCCTTTTTTTCCCCTTCTCTGCTCATAAATGAGATATTTTCTCCCGTTGCCTTGCAACCAGAAAGATGAACAGCAGCACGGGTCAGGCCTCTCCACTGCCTGATGCTTGCTGGAGCATCCTGGCCATCATCATGGATAATACACACAAATGAAGTACAAAGCTTAAGTGTTTTGTATTGCATCCTGCTATATCTCCATTCCCATCTCTATGTAATCATCTTCAGTGATGAAATACTGCTCATGGGGAGACGGGGTGCGGTGAGGGCTTAACTCTGCCTCTTATCCCTCGCACAGAACCTCACTCCTGCTGCTGACAGATTTATTTCTTTCTATTTTTCCTTACCTGGAGTGACCTCATGTTGTGTTTGTGGCACCAGGATCTTTGTATATGGGTGAGAGGCAGCATATTGGGAGCAGTGTTCAGCATGGCACCATTTTAGTGCTCCCGAGCTTCAGGCAACAGCATCCCCCCTGTAATGGTATCCAGGTATCCCACTGCTGGAGGTTGCTGCTCTGAGAAAGCCTCTCCTGGTTATTTGCCTCATATTCCTGGTTATCACTGTGGAGAAACCTCTGGTAAAGCACCTCTGCCACTTCTTTCCAGTAAAGATCCAGGAATGGGGGGAATAGAAGACACCGTAGCAGATCTGAGCCCACCCCTTCCTGGGTTCGTCCTTCTGGTTCTGCTAAACCCAACCAGGAGAAACCCCCTTTGTTCTTAATTTCAGCTTTTGGCTTCACTTTTCCAGTTCCATTTAATCTGCCTCAAAAGGGTCAATTTTCAGTCTTAACAATTAAAGCATTGACTTTGTGTTGCCAAAGCTTGTCCGAGCCCTCGCTGCAGAAAGCATCTTTGCAAAACTTGTCTCCTTGAACATTTAAACTGTCAGCCCCAATTATCCGCATTGCTTCAGCTGAATGGGTTTCTTTCCTCTCAGCCAGCAGCAATATTTTGTTACTGTCTATGAAATATAAACTGCATCCTGAGTTTGAAGCAGCCGTTTTCTGAATCACTGCTCTTACCATCGCTGTGGATTTGCCTCTTGAGTTGCAATACGAAATGCTCAGCCCTTTGCAAAGCGCTCCCCGAAGGCACCGGGGCTGCATCAGTGACTTCCTCTGCCTTCTGCCTTGCAGAAAAGCCCGAGCTGGATGAGATCACCCTGGAGCGAGTGCTGGAGGAGCTGGAGACCATGTGCTATGAGAACATGAACATCGCCATCGAAACGGAGGAGGGCTTGGGCATCGAGTACGACGAGGACGTGGTGTGTGACGTGTGCCGCTCGCCGGAGGGGGAGGACGGCAACGAGATGGTGTTCTGCGACAAGTGCAACGTCTGCGTGCACCAGGTGAGCCGAGAGCAGCCGTTTGGGCTGTCTGCATGGCATGCTGCTCTATGGAGAGGAGCCTTTCACAGGGGCCTGCAGGGGCAGGACAAGGGCAATGGCTTTAACCTGCCAGAGGGGAGATTGAGATGAGCTCTTGGGCAGAAGCTCTTCCCTGTGAGGGTGCTGAGGCGCTGGCACAGGGTGCCCAGAGAAGCTGTGGCTGCCCCATCCCTGGCAGTGTTCAAGGCCAGGTTGGACACAGGGGCTTGGAGCAACCTGCTCTAGTTGAACGTGTCCCTGCCTGGGGCAGGGGTTGGGGCTGGAGGAGCTTTAAGGGCCCTTCCAACCCAAACCAGTCTGGGATTCTGTGATTCTATACCTTCCTCTGGCTTCCTCCCATCCCCACCGTTCCCATTGCCCTGAGTTGTAGATCCCTGGTAGGCTTTTCTGATGGGTTCCCAGCATGTCTCTGATGGAGTGAGGGTAGCAAATGAGGTCTTGGATTGCTGGCAGGCAGCAAACTTGCTTTTCTGAGTTTCTTAGCCCCAACCCTTTGTAAATGCCCATAGAAATACATAACCAGAGGTTGAAAACAGCCTCCTCCTTTGCCCCTCTTCCTTATTCTCTGGTCTGTGTGATATTTTACTTTATGCCTTCTCCTCTTCTTTACCCCGTCCTTCTTTATTAAACTGCAGTGAGATCTTCAGCACCCAGGGGTACCCAGCACCATGTAGAGGACTGGTTGGTGGGCTGGGAGGGATGTGGGTCTGCAAGCCCCACGTTCACCCTGCTCTCAGGAGGGATGGGCTTGCACAGACTTCCAACCTCCTCCTCTTCCACAGCATTACACGGGGGGTATCAGCACCTTCCAGCTCCAGGAGCACTGTCTCCATGGCAGGGTTTCTGACCCAGCCTCCCTGCAATATGAGTGTAGGATTTCATTCTCTTTTGCTGCCTGCAGGGAAATAACTTTATTTTTAGAACTGAATGCAAATGCTTCGTGCCCTTCCGGGGGGGAGCCTGCGCTGGGGGAAACCTCGACAAGGAGAAAGCAGCCATGTGAGGGTCTCCTGGGTCCCACGTGGGTCCAGGGAGGTTTTGCTGGTTGTGCTTTGAGGGGAAGCACTGTGTGGTGCTGCAACAGCAGCGACAGCTCCTGGGCTGCACCCTCTGTATGAAGGGTTTTGGGGGTTTTTTGTTCCTCTAAAGAGAGCCATTTGCTCATCTTTTGGGCAGCGTTTCCATCAGTGCTTCCTGGAGGTGGGAGAGCACTGGAGATATCTATAGTTGCGGGAGGTGGGTGTTTTGAATGGTTTCCATCAGTGAATCAGATTCCACAAAATACCAGCATGATTCAGGCTTGGGGTTGGGTGATGTTTTATTGGTGTTGGGTTTTTAACAAGCCCAGGTTGCAATGTCAGGCCGTGAGCTGACAACATGCTGGTGGGCAGGGGCTCGGGGGGAGGTAGTCAGCATGCAGTAGTGGGGATATACAGACCCTGGCTGTCAGAAGGGGAGGTAGCAGGTTGGATTTCAAGGCTGTTGAAAGAAAAGGGGGATTTTCCATTGTTTTCAGGGAGCAGAGTCCAGCCCTAAGCCCAGTGCTAGCCCATAAGCTGCCTGTGATTTAATCTCTGCCCCAATTTACACCCTAAGCCACAAAGTCCAGAGCCACAGCACAGGATGTTAATGTGGCATCACGTTTCTTATCTAACCTGCCCCATGCCTTTGTCAGCCCCACATCTAAAACCTGCTGGAGAGGGATGCTTTTCCAGCCGGGGAGGGGAGCTGGGATCCTATAGGACACAGCCAGAACTATACTTCGTCCTCCTGCATCCCGTTGGCAAGGGGTAGAGGCAGGGTTGTGCTCAGACACACGCTGGTGGGTGATGGTGCCGGAAGGTATGGTTGTAAACATCTCATCTACATAACACAAGCCACGAGGCTTGCTATTAATTAATTGCTATGAAGCATAGCTTCTAGTAAGCACAGGCAGTCTTCATTTCCAAATCTTCAGTGAGGAGGAATCTTCCCCCCTGCTGCTAAATCGTTGTGGTTCATCGCTCTCACAGTGGCAACGTCACACTTCTCTTTAGCACGGGAATGAGCCATCTCCAGCTTCCAGCCACTGTGCATGGTCCTGTCATTACTGAATCCCCATTCCCTGGTGTGAGGACACGGCCAAGCCCCCTCTCTCTGTTACATGCACCACACTAAGCTCTCCCGTGGCTCAGCATCCTCCCCAGTTTTTAGCATCCCCTTTCTCAGTGATGTTGCACCCGTGACAGGCACAGCAATAAAAATAGCTGCTCTGCTCCTACTCAGCATTGCTCTGGTTCCGTATTCCCAGAGCACCTTCTGGCTGATGCTGGACTGGGAGAGCATGTTGAGCTGATAACCCACCTCATTTCTAGAAGCACACCTTGTCCAGGACAGAGACCCTGTAGTATTTGCTCCTAGGAGCAGAACTGCACCTTCAGCTGCTCTAAAACCTTCAGGAATAAATCACCGAGAGCCAAGACTGCTAGAGATGCACAACTGGTCATAATTCCTGTTTTCCCCTGCATTTTGAGATCAATCTGCCACTTGATTCTCCTGACAGTACATACCAGGCTGCTTTTTGCTTGGTACTTGTCACATGTTTTATAGAGCTCTGTTACAGAAATGGTTTATCTCTCAGATTTGGAGGCACTGTGAAGTGCACAGTTAAGTCTCTATGAACCACGTAGGTTTGCAACAGGAATATTACCTGCCTTAATTCTTTGCTATCCCAATAATCTTTTCCTGAAGTGGCTTCTTCTCCTTGGAAATCACTATCAGAGTGAATTTGTGCTTTGGGGCAGCCAAAAGTCATCGAATCATAAAATTACCGACTGGTTTGGGTTGGAAAGGAGCTTAAAGCTCATCCAGCTTCAGCCCCCTGCCCCGGGCAGGGACACCTTCCACTAGAGCAGGTTGCTCCAAGCCCCTGTGTCCAACCTGGCCTTGAACACTGCCAGGGATGGGGCAGCCACAGCTTCTCTGGGCACCCTGTGCCAGCGCCTCAGCACCCTCACAGGGAAGAGCTTCTGCCTCAGAGCTCATCTCAATCTCCCCTCTGGCAGGTTAAAACCATTCCCCTTGTCCTGTCCCTACTTCTCCTTGTAAAAAGTCCCTCTTCAGATTTCCTGTCACATTATAAAGTCTGTTCTTGGCCAGTAAAGCCTGAGGATGTGCTTTTCCCACGCTCACGCATCTCCACATGCCCCCTCTGCCCCTGTCACTTGCAGTAACAGTGACCTGCAGCAGCAGGATGAAAAGCTGGGGTTTTTTTTGGGGGGGACAAGGGGAAACAATAGGCGCAGAGGTGACAAATGCCTGGGCTCACTCCCGATCAGCAGCACTGGGTCCTTACCAGTGCTGCCCGCTTGCCTCCTGCAGGGATTCAGAGTAGCCAGATCTAGAATTAATTAGATCTCCTCGCTTAAACTAGTGCCACAGCCCCGCGTTGTACCCAAGGCAGTTGTGTGCCACTCGCTGAAAGCCCTTTAAGTGCAGCTTATCAGGACCTGCTGGTTAAAAACTGTCTAGTTTTAGTAGCAGCTGATTAATACTGTAATGAGTTACAGCCGAAGTGGAAAGTATTTTATCATCATCACTGTGTGATAGGACTTATCATTTGGCTCTTCCCCAAGAACGGAAGAGAAATATTTATGAACATTTTGGCTTCTCTGTGTCCTGCACTATCTCAGCAAGTTGGGTAGCTCCATGGGTGACCCGAGTCCTTTAGTTCTCACTCTCTTGGCTGTAGACTTGTTCTTGTGTCATTTAGATTTATTGTCCTTGAGATTTATTATCCTTTATGGTTTCTCCCTTCTGATTTATATTTGTGACTATCGCTTTCCCCTTTTTACCTTTCTGTAGTTATTTTCTCTTCCCCTCTAGGCTGTGTTGGGGGTGTAACCAGCGTGGCCATCGTTCTCAATCATGGGGTTGTGGCTTTTCAACCCTCACCTACCTCAGAGGTTTCTCCACATGGCATTTCTTACTCCTCTGAGTTGTTGTGGGTCCGGTGGCTGTTAAGAAACGGGCTCTGTCCACAGTGCAGAGCTGCTGGTGGTGGTGGCTGTAATGGAGCATCCTGGTTGCCCACCCCACACCTAGAGCCAGGAGGATGTTTGGCATGATGCACAGCACGTTTTTACACTTAGCTTTTAGTTAAAACCCGGGACATACTGATCCAACATGAGTATCCATGTGAAAATAGGGAAGGTAGCAAGGAAGGAAGAACTTAACCTCCCTGTTCAGTAACTGCGGGGCTGCTTTACATCTGCTGTGTATTGGGATGCTCAGATGTGGTGGCGATAAGCCAGCGGTAGTGAGAAAGGTGGGAGCAAAGGAGGAGATGTGGGAAGATGCTCTTCCTGGGTTGCAGGGACTAACCCTCCTGCCTCATGTCTGCACAGGCATGCTATGGCATCCTGAAGGTGCCCATCGGGAGCTGGCTGTGCCGGACCTGCGCCCTCGGGGTTCAGCCAAAGTGTCTACTGTGCCCGAAGAGGGGGGGAGCGCTGAAGCCCACCCGGAGCGGGACGAAATGGGTCCACGTTAGCTGTGCCTTATGGATACCTGAAGTAAGATGTTTTCCAACCTCCTCTTGACACGCGGGTGTTCATTAATGGTGTAAATAGCAAGTCAAGTTTGGGTCACAAAGCTATGCCGAGGTTGGAGCTATGACACTGGTTGGTCATCAGGCTGTGTGTTTAATTAGCAGCCATGGGGCACTCTGTTACGGAGGACACAGAGGTGGGGTGCAAGGGCAGAGAGGTGGGGCGCAGTCTTAAGAGGTCTGGGCAGGGTAAAGCTCATTTCGTGTGCCCATCTGAGATACACAGCAAGAGCCAGGTGAGGAGTTAGTTCAGAGGAATCACCGACATAAACTTTTCCTTCCATTTCACCCAAATTGTTTTCTGGGTTTTGGGGTTTGGGTTTTTTTTCCAGCTTATAAGTGACCCTGAAAAATAGCAAATAGGAAATTGATCCCTCATTCAGACTACCACAGGTATCCTCTTGCAGGAGGTTTGGGGTGGTAGCCAGGATTTACAGCTTGTCTTCTGTTTCATGGCCAGGTTAGCATTGGATGTCCTGAAAAAATGGAACCCATTACGAAGATCTCCCATATCCCAGCAAGCAGATGGGCTTTGTCCTGCAGCCTTTGCAAGGAGTGCACTGGGACTTGTATTCAGGTATGTAACATGGCACCAAAGGAACTCAGACCTCTGGGGTTGTGCCTGTAATTGCCACTGGAGATTCTCAAGATGTTGGAGGAGGCTTGTTCCTGCTCTGAGTAAACCTAATGACAGGGAGCGCGAGCGCCCATCAGATATCATCAGATGTTGTTTGCAATCATTTAACGTATTGAGTGCTAGGAATCTAGATTAACTTTCTTTGCATAACACAGTGATGTTGCTGTAGTGACACTAATTACCAGGGCTGCAAATGACCTTGGTTTGAAGTCAGGAACCTCCAGCAGAAAAGCTTGGCAGAGCTGCCAGAAAAGTGAGATGCTCGTGAGATCCACAGCCCAAGTACTTCACAAACCAGTGGGAAGCCTTTCTGTTGGGGGGAATATCAGGTAGTCCCCACTAGCCTGCTGGCTTGGAAAATAGGGTATTTACCATGTATTACGTTCCCACATTTCCTCCTGTTTTGCCACATGTAAGCAGACATCTGATTGCCCGGTCTTCCTGCAGCAGGAGGACAAGTTCTCTTTCCAGACAGAAAGCAGGATGTTCTGGGCTTTCCTACACAGAAATGGGACAGAGCTTCCTGCGCCACGATCTCTCTTCTTGGGGAGCAAAGAGGAGAAGCTCCCATCCAAAATGCAGCACACTTGGTGTGAGAGCATCTGGGGAGCCTTGCTGCATCCAGCGATTCCCCCTGCTTCCTACTGCTTGGCTGGTGCAATGTTCCAGTGGTCCCTGGGGATGGGCTGGGGGATCTGCTGCTTTGCAGTGCCTGTGCCTGTTGCTTTCATTGGTAAACCAGGTAAACCAGTCTTGATGTGCAGGGCAGGATGGAATAGCCATTAAGCTCTGAAAAACTGGGAGAAGGTTTGGAATGTGTACCAGTCCCAACTGATCAGCTCCAGTACAGCAACAGGAGCTGCACCTCGGAGGTTGGTGTGCACAGCAGTGACTATGGGGGACCAGGAGTAGTTGGCTGGTTGCAAAAGGGTGATAGGAATAGGAGGTCTGCAGGCTCTGCTGCGTTCATGTCACTGCTTTGGGTTTAATACTTTAAAGGGAGCTATTTAAAAGCAATCCCCTTAGCTTGAAATGAAATCTCACAATACTTCTTTAAATCTCCAGCGTTGACTCACATCTTTTTTGATGGCTCTGGGTGGATCTGCTTATTCACCCTGCCAGATGGAGATACTGTGTCATAACGGCAACTGCTTTCAAAGAACGGAAGGGCAGGGAAGGAGGCAAACAGGCTTGGCAGCATCAAAAAGAATTCAGCTTCTCTGAGGCTTCATCCTCTTAGTGCCGGCATGGCATGGGAGCTGTGAGATCCCGGGGACTGAATGGATTTGCATTAAAGGTCACCTGAGATGGAACAGGAGCTTTATTGTCTCATGAGCCGGCAGCTCACGGTTTATAAGTCTTGATGAGATTGTCACCAGCGCGTTTGCCAAGGCCACCCTTGCATGCTCGGAGTGGTTTTGCTTCAAGGGAAAGGGGGAGAAGGGGGAAAAAAGGCAGCAGTGCCTTTATTTAAGGATTTAGGGGGTAAATCAACAAGTTCACCCATAGATAAACAAACACGCTCTGTACTCACCAGCGGTACAGAGCTCTGGTTTGAAAGCTTCTGTTTATGGAGCATATTTTTGATCAGTGCCTGTTTATACAGGTGTAATCTAACTACCTTTGTCAGCGTTTTGGGTTTATGACCCAGCTCTGAAAGGAGGAGGTTGTTCTCTGTTCAAGTACTGAGCTTTTCTTCTTGGCAGCAGGCATCAGGTGCTG